CCCCCCCCCCATGATCAAAGGATCGGTCAGAGGAGAGGATTTTGACGACGGGCAGCAGGAAAGCCGATCGGATACAAGCATTGTTTGGAGCGGCGACAAAGGTGGTCGGTCAAAGTTTGATTGACGTCTCGGAGACTGAGTGCCAGGGTTACAGAAAAAAGCTTTTGATCATCGACGCCGCTGTGCCTCAGAGGAGCATCGACGCGACGAAAGTCGACGACAATCACCGACCGGCTCCGAACCTACGACTCAACGGACAAAACAGTGCGATGGGTCGGTCAAAACAAAGGAAAAGTCTTGGCAGGCGTCAACGACATGTCATACAGCGTGAGAAACAAACTAACCATGTATAAACGATCATATTTTTAAAGATTTTTGGCTGAACGGTAAACTGCTGTGTCCTTGCATGATTGGGCTTCATATGCTTATTAACTAATAATCGTCGTTATAAATCAAGTGTATCAAAGCACAAGGTAAAGAGTTGTAAAAAGCACAAGAAAAACAGACATTTTTAGTTCCCTACTAGTTTTTTGAAGATTATGTAGTTTGTGACTCGCCACACTGAAGACAGTCTTGAAAACCTAGTTGAAACAGAACAGGTTCGTTGTGATGTGTGTGCAAAATCAGACCGGTGATTGAGACAATGAGTTGAATTTAGGTAATGATAAGAATCATGGATGACCTGGAGGCGAAGACCTCATGAGGTAGATGAGTGGAGAGTAAAAGCTCACAGAGCACGTGATATGGCGATTTCTAAGAACAGAAGTAATTTTCGTACGACGTGCTAATGCGCGCGCACTCGTGTCAAATGACACTGTCGGCTTCGGCTGAACATATTGCTCTTCATCAGCTGATAGCTGATTGTTGGAAACGCTCGATTTTCCAGACGCTGTTTCCGCATCAGTGACGGAACAAGAAATGATCATTCGTCCAATAGATGGCGAGGGGTGACGCATTTAATTATGTGCATAATGTTGGTGCATGATTAGGTGAAATTCAGCCAAAATGTCGCGAGGACGACGCAGCAGCCCAAATCGACGGAAAATTAACCCTTCGAAAAGATTCACAAAAAGTTCAGAGTTCAGAAGTCAGCCTCAGATCAGCACCGGTGTGGCGGATGACAGGATTACGTCATTTTTTGTATTGTTACTGCCGTTCAAAGGAATACGGCCTGGAAGCGTATCGTATGTTGTGGTATGTCGATGAATGGAATAGCCAATTTCCGGTTGAGGTTCGATTAAACGAAAGAGGCAAAAATATACCAGCATATATTACGAATGCCGAACTTGCGGAGTTTCCGGGCTCTTAGAAGTTTTCCAACGACAGAGCTCGTCTCTATGTGCAGCTAGAATAACTTTCAGTCGATTATCCCGTCTGATCTGCTTCGTTTTAAACTTTTTCAAAAGTTTGGCGTTTCAGCACTGAGCAAAATTCCGATGATGTTTGACAATTGCAAGTAGCCGTAACTCTGTGATCTTCTCATCTTAAGAATACGTTTGCACAAGTGCACAATGTACTCCATTTGCCTCGCAGACCATTGCAGTTTTTACGAGGTTGTGTCACCTTGTTTTCGACGTCATCCATGTGGTTTTGCGTTCGCCTCGTCGACGATGACCTTACAACCTCAATCGGTGATTTTCAAGCACCTTATGACCTGTGGTTCCGGATCCCTTCCTTCGTACAACTGTACTTGACGCAAAATATGACCGCGTCCGTTGTAATATTGGTTTTAAAATTTTTATTTCCGTCGCTTCGTCAAGCGATGAGACGGTAGATCAAAGAGCAACGTGTTAAGAGTACCGGCCAACATCGTTGTCCTTTCGGTGCTTGCTTAAAACTTTTTGTTGTCTGCCAGTCTGAGTACACAGCGCCTCTCAAAATTCGTTTCGTTCGTTCCTCTATAGCGAAAGTACTCCCAAGCGTAGATGTTTTTTTACCATTTCCACAACTTCTGTGGCGTCAGTGGTAAGACGGTTATTGGTATGACTTCTGTTCATTTGTATTTACATAATCCCTTTAAACTGACACAGAGATCCTTTCAGCAGAAACACACTTCTACTTCAGAGTTAGAAACAGTAACATCACAGCTTTGAAACTGACTGCTAGCAGTATGGTATGATCTGTAGATCATATTTAGGAAAACGGTGAGCCTTTGATCAAATTATGCTGAAAGTCTTAGTTCTGTTCAGTTCGAAAGCACATAAAGAGGCCCTTTATGATAATAGACAAAGACCATCGGAAGCCTGAAAAAATATGTGTTGAATGAAACTTTGGAATTCCACAAAGGTGTTCCTACTTCAACCTAAACTACTAATCTAGGGGAAAATACTGCAGCGACCAATAACAAGGATCAGAGAGTAAACGATTAAAGTACTCTAGCGAAGAAATACAGCATAAGCAAAAAAATGGTTGTAAAATGAAAGATGAAAAAGATGAAAACAGATTCAAAGGTACAAACTAAATTATTAAAGATGAGATTGGAACTAAGTGAGGGGTTCTTTGAAGCTTAATTCCTCGTTCACACACGCTCTAATACACGCTTTAATGACGGCGGAATCGCGCATCATGAGATCGGCAGCAATCGCGGTTTGCCAAATTCAAGCCTTTGCTATGCACCGGATGTGGGTTATGAATCACATGCTTCATAATAGAAAAATGTTTCCCATGCTCCAACGTTGCTATACGTTTCTTTGGACGAACTTTAAAACATCTTTCTGTCGTATAAATGTAATGCCTTCGACAACCGTATCCATCCATTTGGTAAACAACCCAGTTTACACGCAGGTGGACTGTTGAAAAGTGTTCATCATGCAACCCTTAACATAAGACGATGCTTTTCATGTGAGTGACACTGAATATCTTAGCCAAATATAATTATGCTTAAGCAGTAAAGTTCAGTTCATATGTAATATGCAAATGTTACCCTCAGCGCTATGCATCGGTTGCATTACCCGGTCTAGAAACACTACAAACGGTAAACGAGATTTCGAAACGGCTGTTTCGCAACAGAGGCGTAAAATTTTAGAAATTCATAGCAATTTGAGACACGAGAAAATCAACATCACGTGCTTGTATTTGAAAACAACTCGCTTTCAGTGCAAAGGCAGAAAGAAACTGAAGCTCTGTGCACTCTGCTGTCTTTATCAGACAGCTGAATATAAGGAACGCCTGAATGAGAGCCGCTGGAGAACCATCTGAAGCTCAGAATTATCGTGAGGCTATGGCGTATACGGCTGAAGGGCTTTTAAAGGATAGCAGTAAATGATGAATTTATGAGCAGAGTCACGTGCTCATGAGCAGTTCATGTTGAGGAAAGCGTACCTGCAAAAAGCGGGCACATGTTCTTCATGGCCTGAGGCGGCGCCTTCGTACAGTACTGACCGACGGTCAGTTCGGTGACCACCAGGGGCAGGCAGCAGACGAACGTCGACACGAGGTAGGCGATAGCGAAAGCGCCTTAAAAGCGTAAGGTT